ATATATATATATATATATCTGTGTGTGTATTCCCATTTTGTTTTGTGTCGTTCCCTCAGTCACCTCCTTAGTGTCAAGATTTCTCCATAGAACTTTGACCAGAGGGGATGTCTTGTTCTTTAGTACCAATGAGAGACTCCTATCAAGCTCTACTGTGTTGAATTGGATGGTGTGTGTAAGATCTGGTCGGTGTCTCTGTAGCATTGATACATGGAAGACATTTTGAATGCAGTTGAGTTTTGTCACTTCATAAGGGCCTGTGAATCAAGGGTTAAGCTTACTTTTCCTTCCAAACCGCAATACCTTCTTCCAAAGTGACACCTTTAAGAATTATACTCAATATCTTGCCTTTTTAAGTCAACATATGACTTTTTTCAATCAGAGGTAGCTTAGAGTCGATCTTTGATTAACTTGACATTTTCTTTATGTCTCATACTAGATCAGGTTCAATGGGTTTGTTTTAACTATGAAGTTCAGTCCAACATAAATGTTTTTGACTTTTCCTTCCATATAATGCTTTGTAAGGAGCGTTTTGAATACGAGCGTTTTGAATACTTGCCAGATAGCTATTATTGTGGGCAAATTCCATTAATAGTAGATACTTCTCCTAGCTTCCTTCTAGCTCCAAAACACAACCTTACATCATATCCGCCTATATTTAGATAACTCTTTCTAACTGGCCGTCTGTTTGTAGACGAAAAATCATACTAAAGAGCAACTTTGTTTCATGCCCTAAAATCAGCAATCATCAAATCAATAGTAAAAATTGCCTCTCTTCCTTCAAGCTAATTTCCTCTATCACATCCCTGCATTGCACGGGTCATATTCATGTTACTAAATTAAGATTATTTTTTAATGATACAAAATGATATCTAATAGAATATAGAGATTTTACTATTTTAAGGTACAAAATTTTTTTGTTTGACTATTTTCGAAAGACTTCTTTACAAACTACAATATTCGTATAATTTTTAGGAACATTGTCTTCGTTCCATATCAAAAGGGGACCATTTATGGAAAAATACCTATAAAAGAAGGACCGCCGGGGTAATATTTGATAATAGAGAATTAAATAGGGAAACTACCCTGTTATAAAGTACCAATTATGAAATTTACCTTTTAATTTATTACACACTTTTTTTGTTTTACTTACCATTTCAAAATTTCATTATATTACACACGTAATAAAATTAGGAAATCATTTTATTTTTTCATAGGCACTTACAGTATATTTATTATTCATTTTTACCAAAACCATGTATAAGGAAATTATTTTATTTAAAATCATTTTATTTAAAATATGTATGAAGTTAAAATGAAACACGGTACCGTGTTAATTAATTTTTTATAGCAAAGTATTATAAAATTAATATACCTTTAATTACGTTTTTATACACACGTTACATCTTAATTTGTAAATATTAGTTACGTTTTTTGTGTTACTTACCATTTTAATATTTTATTTTATTACACACCTTTTTGGTATTACTTACCATTTTTATTTTTAATTACATCTTAATTTATAAATATAAATTACATTTTTGGTGTTTCTTACCATTTCAACATTGTAAACACAATTTTTTTGTTTTACTTACTAGTTCAATATTTTATTTTATTACAAACGTTACATCTTAATCATTTTCACATGTGTTTAATTCATTACACGCGATATCATGTTAAATCAAAAAAAATAATTACCTTTTAATGTCAAATTTATTAAGCATTTACCTATTCAAGTTTAGCAATTACCATTTGTGAGTGAAGACTATTTAGGCGGGAAAACCAAATGAGGGTTTCCCTTCTTTTTAAATAAAGTATAGATACCGTCCTCATCAATAATTTGTTCACATTACTCATTTTGTGTAGCCACCAAAAAGGAAATGTGACTCTATCTCATACTCTAATGTAGGCTCTGTTTCTTTTGAGCAATAACTTTTAGTATTTTGAAACTTCTTTCCGTTTCTTTCAATTCTTCTAGTTTCTTCTAATTTCTTTCCGTTTCTTCCAACTCTTTCCAGTTTTTTCAACTCCTTCAAGTTTCTTCCAACCCTTACAATTTCTTTCAACTTATTCCAATTACTTCTAACAATGACTTTAAAAAATAATTAGGTTTATTTTCATATATTATTATTATTATTATCTCAATAAAATAAAAAATTGATTTAATATCATCATTTTTAAAGAAATTGTGTCATGAACTTAAACTTCAGTTACCATTATAGAGTCATGTAAATTATTTAAATCTTAAATTATTGAATTTATAATTTCCTTTTTTATTTGAAATTTTTATTAACTAAGTTTTTTTGAAATGTATTTCAGTCAATATTTTAAAATTTTTACCAAAATAATTGTACACTCTATTTTCTTTCACTAAGCATTACATATCTTTTAAATGTGCATATACTAAAAAATATTGTAATGTGCATGTTCTAAGTGTATGCAAAATATTGACTATTCATATATACATCAATTTAATACGCAAAAAACAATTGTGTAATATTAATAGTGTTTACTTTTTAAATGTGCATATGCCAGATGTATAGTGCAAAAAATTTCTCGATCTGAATTTTATTAAATAAAAAATATCAAAAAAGTAAAAAATGTTTTAATATTTTTTAGACATATTAAAAAAATGAAATTCTAAAACCTTTTACAGGAATGAATTGGTGGCTTTAAACAATGAGGCATTGACCCCTAACTAGTCTTCTTGGGTTCTCTTCTCAGATTTGATGTTCCAGGTTCATTCGCTAAAAAAATAATTTAAGTTATTTGGAGTTATTAATCAGAACACTATTTTTTATATTAGAATTCTTACAAGTGATATATATAATCTGTAATCATTACTCCGTTAGTAATTTCAAAATTTTGGACAATTAGATAAAAATATAAATAATGTTAAATAAGTAATTTATATTGCAAAACTAACAGTGTTATTCTCAAGTCATTTTTATAATTATTTTGATATATAAAATGTGATATAAGATTATTTTGTTTGGTTGAGACATCGTTTTTTATTTAAGTCCAATTTTTCTTCAAACTAGATTACTAAAAAGTATTACTTCATTAATCTTTTTATTTTTGGAACATGGATTAAACACGAACAATTGAAAAATGAAAAATTATATTATTTATATTAATATTAAAAAGTATAAAAAAAAGTGTGAGTCACAAAAAAATTATGAATACAATTTGGGATAAAATATAATGGTATAAAAAGTAGAGTAATATTTTTTAAATAAACTATGAAATTTATAAACAAAATAATTTTTTTAACATTTTTTGTTTTTGGAACTCTTTCAATATTTTTCCAACATTTTTCAATTTTTTTCAACTCCCAATTTTTTTTTGAACTCTTTCTAGTTTCTTTGAACTCCTTCAAGTTTTTTTCCAAATCTTTCAAAGTGAAATTTGCATTAAATAATATTAAAACATGTCATTTCTCAATGTAGTACTTACACTTTTTTATTTTCTAAATAGTACTTGAATAATATCTAGTGACGGGAACAATGTCCACTGATGATTGACATTTAATTTGAACAATGTCTAGTGGCGGTGGACATTTACTTAACAATGACCGGCGGACAATGACCAGTTGTAATACATTGGAAAATAAAAACATATAGTACTACATCGATTGGGAAAGTTATTATGCTTTAATACGGAGTACTTTTTAGGTAAATTCCACTTTCTTCAAATTTCTTCTAACGATTTCAGGTTTCTTCCAGCATCTAATTCTGTTTTTTCAACGAAGAGAGCCATAATCAAGGACAATGCTCAAGTAACAAAAGTCGTGAGATATTCAAACACAAAGAGGAGCTTCAAGCATAACACAAATGCAACTCAAATAGCACCGAGTATACATCAAGTATCAAGTCTATTACTGATTCAAGTGTCATTGATTATTTTATGTAATTGATTTTACTTAGAGCTGACAAAAATTTTAATAGACGTTAACGAATTCGGAGGTACGGAGTACACACTCATTCAACGATATTGCAAATTCTATAATGGTATGTTTGGGAACATGGATTTGGATTTCAAATTTGCATTTGGCTCAAATCCCATGTTTGAGAAACTTAAAAAAATTGAATTAGGATTTAAGTCAAATTTTTTCTCATTTAAAAGAAAAATTAATTTGAAATCTATGTTCCTCCCCTTGTCATTTGAATTTCAAGATTTTAAATTTTGGAATTGAAATGCATGATTTGAAATGAAATGCTAGTTGCCAAACACTACCTAACGGAATCCGAGGATAAGTTGTGGCGGTTCACACAAAACCGCAGAAATAATTGTTGTACATAACAGCTATAATACATTTGAATGTTTGAATTCTAACATTCAAATGTTACTCGAAAATGGTGTCGTTTCATCAACTAACAAGTCCATTCGAAACTTTGCTTATAAATATGGCTCCGGGATATGTTTCAAGACAATCAGAATTTCCACACTCGTTCTATATTACTACATCTAATCTGATTGAAATATTTTGTTTCATCTCAAAATAACTTTAATCTTAAAATATTTTACGCGATTCGCTAAGTCTATCAAGTCGTTCTTCACATTTTTCGTATGCCAATTATCTAAAGCTGCAAAGCAACATCATTGTCCCTCCCAAATTTCCAACAAAGTCTATGCTCTATAGAATTTGGTGATCATCAAGAAGTTTCAATCTTCAAGCCTTATGAAGCTTCCATAAAAAAATTATCAAAACGCATATACTGCAAGTTGAAGGAAATATATGGAAAAAAAGGGCAAAATTTTGGTGATGCATATTCAACAAAAAACAGTGAATAGATTCAAACTAAAGAAAAAGCATGAGCTCAAGCTCAGATTAAACCATAAAAAAGGAGTTGTTGATTTCAAATGCAAGTAACATATGGTATGTGGAGTATTAGACCTGACAAAACAAAACCGGAACCGATTACCCGAACCGAAAGATACGATCTATAACCGAAAATCCAATCTATATAGTAGGCTCCTAATCAATGAATAGAAACAAATTAAAAATAGAAAATTTATAATGATTTGATCGAGACTTTATCCAATTATATTGTGCTGGCACTATAGAAAATGCTTTCAATTCAATAGTTGGCCATGAAAATCAGTCTTCCATAGAGAGCTATCACCCATAGATGAAGATGGAGATCCAAGGCTATTACTCCTAAAATGCATCAACCCAACACAAACATGCCTTTCCAAACTCAACTGCCTATAAGACGCCAAACTAAGCATCACTAGGTAGGGTAGGCTATATGAATCAAGTGATGTCAATTGTTCCGACTCAGCCATGGAAGATGAATGCACATAATATTTTTTGTTGCTATCTTTGGAGTTTCCCGACGGAGTGCAAATACACTGAGACAGATACAACACTGCACACAAGTGGAAGCACATTAGTCGCGGCCCACACTACTTATAATGAGGTCACAGTTTGGTAGGGGCTTACGTTGATCCAAGAAAGAATGCGAGCGAAAGATGAAATCCAAAGAGGAATACTGATACAATTGCTGTCAGCAGCATTGCAACAGAAGTAGCATACACCTACACAGCAGAGCAAGGATGAATTTCCTGATAGCTTTCAACATTTTTGTTAACTACTTATCAACATTATGTTTTCAATCGTGTTAATCAAATGTAATCAAATTCAACATTTGTGCTCGTGGTGATCCTTCAAATTTTGACGAACATAAATTGCTATACCAAACATAAAGTAAATACAACTACAAATACAAGCTCAGTATAATCCCAACGTTCCAACTCCGTCAAGGTCTTTTTTTTGGGAGGGAGGGGGGGTCAAAATGTTATCTTTAAAACATAAAGTTAATAAAAATAAATAAATTCTGTAGGTTAATGAAGTGTATCAATTATTCATAGAATAAGTAAATGGGCTTGATTTTAGTAATCCAAATACTAATAAACTAATGAAGAGCTCATGCCATTATGTACCCCAATTCCATATAAAACCATTTTTGTGATTACTTTGAAATTTAAATGTACCGTTTTTTAACTTTATACATACAATGAAGCATAACTTGTTATGGAGTATATTAATGATTAGATCTTGGAATATTGACAAGGTGTTGTTATTTAGTATTTTGAAAGTTAGGATTGATTCCCACCAAGTGCCCAAGGTTGACAAGTTCCAGTATCATCTTGGTTCGGTCAATAGGGAGTTGGATGGAGATGTTGTGCACCATGTTGGAGCGGTATGGGCAAAGTGGAGGTTGGTTTCAAGGGTTTTGTGCGATAAGAAGAATTCGATAAGGATGAAAGGTAAGTTCTATGGGAGTGATGGGAAGCTAAGAAGACCCACATTTGTCGAATGTATGCTGGAAAGATGCAAATGCTACAGTGAATAAGTGGAAAGACAGGGATAGATAGGATTCATAACGGGGTTATCTTAGGACAGGTAGGAGTAGCACCGTAGAAGATAAGTTGTAGGAAGCCATGTTGAGGTAGTTTGGGCATGTGAGGCAATGGAGTGATGAGGCCCAGTGAGAGGCTTACGGTGGTGGGTGAGTAAGCGAAGGGGTAGAACTAGAAAGATTTGGAAGGAGGTTGTTAGAATATAAGAAACATTTCCTGGGCCACAACCACGAGCTTGAGCTTTTGGTTGGGCTGGTTCCTTGACACAGGTGATTATACAAAACTTAAGACTTCCGACCCTTACCAAGGATATGGCCTTAGGATGGTTGCAACAATAAACCCTAAAAAGCAACTTTAACATCACCACGTCAGTGCTACATCAAAAGTTTAAACCCACCAACTTCTTTAAACCTACAAACCCAACTAGAACCAAAAACCTACAAACCCAACTATAACAAACCATTTACATTTAATTAAAATAATCAAAATTAACTATTATATTTCATTAAATTAATTTTAAAAATATTTTTTCTTTAATTAACACACACACACACACACCCACCCACGCACGCACGCACGCGCGGACACACACACACACACACACATATAGATTTAATCACCAAAAAAAATTAAAAACAATACTACCTCCGTCCCAGAGTATTTGTCCACTTTCATTTTTACACACCATCCAATACACTTCTTTAATCCATTTTATCTTGTAATTTGTATATTAAAAAATTATAGAAATTATATATTAAAAATCTATATGTTAAGACAAATCAAACAAGATCACACATGACTATATTTAGGCTTACACATTGAGAGAATTTGATGAGTCAAAGTGCTTAGATGAACAGTTCCAAAAGTCAAAACTGGACAAATACCCCGGGACGGAGGGAGTATAAAATTGCAAAAGTGATAACCCAGTGAGGCCCGAGCTTATCCAAAACCCCAGCTTTGATTTTGGAGAGCTAGCTCTATAAAAAAGTGCCAACTCATCATTCAGTAATGGTTGAAGCTAGCTTTATAGCTTTAAAGTTGGGTTCTAAGCCCACCATTACAAGCACCCTTAGATGGGAACATATGGAGCGCTAGAATTAGGGTAGTTGGGTAGGTGCTTTGGACTGGGTGGTAATTTTTCCACTTGTGTGCTTTTTATGCTTAATGCTTTTTGCTTGTGCTTTTACATCGTTAATATTAGTTTAATTTTTCTTTTTTTGTCCACTATGCTTTATGTGTCTTCTGTGAGCTTGTGCTATATGTGCTATCTATGTTACTTGAGCCGGGGGTCACTTGGACACAGCCTCCCTACTTTTGAGGAGTAAGATCTGCGTGCACACACCCCCCCCCCCCAAATCCTACTCTCATGGGATTCAACTCGGTTGTATTCTTAAGAGCACTTAGTAACTTAAAGGAAACAAAACACATTGAATAAGGGCCTAGTAGTCTTTTAACCTCTTTTATCCATCCTTCTAGGGGTGGATGTAGTAAATAAGGTTGCATTCACCATGGGCGGGGACTTTCTCTACAAATAACAACCTATCTAGTATAATCCCAAAAGTGCAGTCTTTTATTAATTACTTATTTTTTTGGGGTGGGGGGAGGTATGCAGATCTTACCCCTCCCTACAAAAGGTAGGGATGTTGTTTCCTAAAGACCTTACCCCTACCTACTAGCGTTTCTTTCTGAATTGGTCAATTAGATCAAAGTCTACAAGATTCCACATTGTGGCACTGTAGTCACCATTATGTTTCTTTTTTTGGATCATGGATGTGTAAAGTTGAATCTATTTGTGTATAATTCTATTGTAACACCTCTTAATGATCAATGTGAGTCAATGAAAAAGGATATTCCCAATTTTACCTTCACAATATTGTCAGCATACTTCATAACCATTGATACAGCTAGTCCACTGTACGAGATAGCATGCCAATTAGAAATGAAAAACAAGCATTAAAAAGAACTTGTTAAACCACTATGCCATTAGATCAGTCTGTAATTCAATATCAACCACATTTCATCACAAGTAACCAAGTTCACTGCAGTTTATACCTCAATGCATGGTTGAGAATCATGAGAACTGTAATCAGTGAATATCCATGGAAGAAACCCCTGTCATATACGAAGTCACAAATTGTGATGTTAAGGAAGAAGGCATTTCATTGATGTATTGAATCATATACTCCGTAGATGAAATATCATGTGCATCAGAAACTAGCTAATCACGTTTTTAATTTATTTAGACTTTTTAAAAAAATCAAAGGTGAGGAAAGAAAAGGGATATGCAAAGGTAAATTTACTTGCTCACAACTTCATCAAAATCTTGAACGACTATTGCAATAGCATTAAATACCATTCCAAAGACATATAGCCAGAAGTTTTGAACATTAATATTCCTTGAAGGACGCTTTTTTATTATGGCCTGCAAAAATAAAGAAAATAATAAATAACCACGATTCTTTGGTAGGTTATGCTTTCGCTTAGTAGCTCATATGGTTGTCTTCGCAAAATAAGACCAAGCTACATTGTGTTTAGTGCACTCTTACTAAAACAGGCACATTATGAAACAATGATGATACAAATGTTATAGGCCAGGATATTGGGGTTGCATGGGTTAATGGGTTAAAAGGGGCAAATGGATTAAAATAGGAGACATCATCTAACACCCTTACTAATTATTTTTGGGAAACTGTCAATTTTTTGGATATGTTTTATTCAATTTAAACCTTCTCTTAAATAGAGAAGGTATAGTTATGAATTCATAGAACAAAAGCAAAACAAATTCACGTGAATTGCATACTACAAGCATGGCAGCATTTATTTTTCTCATATTTATGCAAAAATAACAGCAGACTAACACACAATAGTGCACAACAATTTTAAAAACATCATTTAAATATTGTTGTTGTTATTGTTACTATTATTCTTATAGTTATGATAACTAATAAGCAGCAATGGCTGCATGCAAACTCCCAGTTATTAACATTAGTCTGCTCCGGAGCTTGCTAATAAACATATGAAATGAAAATGGAGAAAAATGCATATTATTATTACTCCCTACCTCCAACGACCTGTCTCTTTTTACCACTTTTCGTTAGCCCCACTATCTTCGTCTCATTTCACATTTTCCGTATTTGTAATGTCCAAAAGCATTCATAGTTTATCCGTAATTTACATACTCAATATCAAACACAGTTCCACTTTTCCGATTTTCCCTATTTTGTGTGCCAACATAGTTTGCCCTAAACCTATTGGTGCGGAGGGAGTAGAATATACTTGGTCATCATGACAATTTCACAAGTATCATAGGAACCAAATATTGAGAACTGGATATCATGCTAAAAAGTATACCTCGGTGTAAACTCCAGCAAAACCACTTAGAAGGGCCATAACCTGAAAAAGTGATGTAGAGAGGTATGAAAAAGTATAATTCAATTAAGGAGTGCAATCCCCTTTTATCTTATCATTTTCCTTTTAGGGGAATCCTTAATTAATATTCTCGTTTCTGTTTAAGGAAAGAAATGCGAGATCCATATTAATTCATTCATTTCTAAGTACCACACAATTTTATTTTCCTAAACACCTTGTAAAAAGCAAATGAGAACATTGAATTGAGACGGAGGAGGGAACACTATTTTTTCAATTTCAAATAATTACATTATGTCATGAAATGCCTGCAACTTACAATAGCCATAAGCCAACCTTGGACAGGAGTTTGGAGGACATGATCAGACCTGCAAGGAGAATGTAAATTTGTTAGGATCACAGTGTAATGTCTCATATAAGTACGTAAAGACACCACTAATTTAAAATCAGAACAGTTTCTTCTTGATATATCAATACCAATAAAATAAATATTTTAATCACATTATCCTGTTGACATAAGTCATAGGCCCAGAAAACAGCCGGCATATGTGAAACATGGCACATCGAATTGTAGCTATTTTCCTTATTAGTACCCTTGGGAGTTTACAGTGAAGAACCTTACCTAGGATTAAGTTGTGCCGTTGTGCATCCTGCACAGAGTAATATGAAGGCTGCCCATTGAATCTCACTCAACCTAACACCAAAAAGTGGGTAAAGTATCAGAAAGATCTACTGAAGAGTTCAAAGAATTTGAAGAGGCATATGCAATATTATCCATACAAAATACACAGTTATGGTCTGTAAAGTTTATTCCAGATCATTAAGGTGCATAGAAAATTGATTTTATTTATACACAATTCTCAGGGAACAGTGAAACAAAGCGCATCTTGTCTCAGAATTAATCAAGTGATTGAATTGAATCATCAACACCCATGTTGCAGGCATCTGTGTTATACTAAACTATTTTTGGCCAAGGATTTAATTCTTCACTCCTACTGTCCTACCACAGCATGCATGCTGGAGGTGAATTTCACTATGTCAGAGCCAGACCTTACAGTCTAAAGCTAAGCAGATGCTTAAATGCTTCTACAGCTAGCCTAATGTTTGATGATGAATCATTTCAACAAAGCAAACCGAAAACAGAAAACCATGTACCACATAAGGATTAAGGAATAAAAACCACATTAACAGCACCTAAGAAACTATGAAAATTTTACCGTTTATTTTTATTTTTCAAAATGGCATATTAAACTTCTCTTGCTTCTTACTTTCTATGAAGTTTTGGGAAGTAAATGCAGCAGTGCATTAAGGATCGAACAAAAACAGACTTCTCTGTTTATTACAGGGTAAGACTGCATACAATTGTACATCTTCACCCCCAAATCCCAACAAGTTGGGATTATACTGGGTTGTTATTTATTTTTCAAGAACAAGCTTTTCACTAATAAAAATAAACAAAAACAAAGGGGACATCAGGTAAGAAGTGATAGGACTTACCTCCTCTTTAGAATAATTCGATACAAAACACCAGTGCTGATAATGTTAAAGTTTTTTAGTATCTGATATCCAGGAGCATCTACATATGCAAATATGTAATACTGTGACACACCAGCAAACTTAAACAGAAGTTATAAGATGGAAACCAAAAGTGCTCGCAAAATATATAATATTAATATTACAAAAGAAAAAATCCAGAACCAACCTGCAGCAAATTCTTGACAAGGTACAGTGCAGCAGGAATTGGATAAACACTGACTTCATCATATGTAGTGCTTAATCTATATATAGCAACATAGAAAATAACAAATAAATACATTTAATCTCCAAAAAATTGGAAGAGATTGTATTTTGTAAGGCTATCTTACAGATACCATTGTGAGATGGAACTGAATATGTTCAAACCAACAACCAAACCCTCCCACATAGCATCACAAGCCATCCAAATCTGGGGGATGAGTTGCACTTCTTTGTTTTCCAATATGAGCAAAGAGTCTATGTTTGTCTCACATGTTGTTTCTCCCAAGCTGAGAGACACAACATTTTTGTTCTAAAAAAATATTATAATTAGTGAATGCTTTTTTATTTTAATTCTTTTTATCAAATATTCAAATAGCATTATCTCTATAACGTATTTGTAATTTTCATTAAAAAAAGTATCACATTTGGCTATACTTTTCCAAAGTAATAACTACAACTCGTACTGGTTAATACTCATATGAAAGCAAATAGTTTTACCCAAAGAACTAATAATTATGTGAGTTAATTATGCTTTTGGTCCCTGTAAAATGAGAGACTTTTGCTTTTAGTCCTTCTAAAATATTTTTAAATTAAACCAATGCTGTAAAACTATTGTTTTCCCAAATGGTCTTCCTAACCAACTAAGAGTTGATTTGTCAGGATTTAAAAGGACCAAAGAAAATATCGATTTGGATTTAAAACATTTTAGAGGAACCAAAAACAAAATCAATTATTTTCTAAAGACCAAAAACAAATTCAACATTAATTTTAAATTTAAAATAAATAGTGGAAGGACTATTAGAAAAAAAAATTACAGGGACAAAAAACATATTTAACACATTATGTAATATATACTCCTATTAACTTTTCATATAATATTTCTCCCTTCGTCCATCACAGATCTTCCCAAATGCCCTTTTTGTTTGTCCGTGGAAAGATCTTCCCATTACTTTCTTTAACATTTAAATACCACAACTACCCAACTTACTTTACTTATTACACCTCACCCACCTCATTTAATATACTCCACCCAATTGCATTAAGGGTATTTTAGTAAACTTTCAACTTTTTTCAACTCTCCTTAGAAACCACAAAAAGCCAACTTTGGAAGATCTATGGCGGACGGAGGGAGTACTTTTAATTCTTGGTAGAATACTATTAACTTTTAATATAATATTACTTCTAATTTTAATGCACCCCCTTTCTTTTGACAACTAACTTTGTTGTCATAATATGAAAACTCCAATTCGAGCACTAACGGTGCTCCAATCGGCGATCCACTAAGGGAGGGGGGAGGAACCATCAATTTTACAGAAGGAGCATTGTAGGTGTTATGACAACAAATCTTGTTGTAAAAAGAACGAGGCTATTTAAATGTTATATAATTATTGATTATAAAGCTTAGCAGCTTACAACTCATAATTTAAACAATACAACTAATACTCACACCGTCCCAGTGGGAAATTATAGTTGCTCTATTCAAGCCACCTCTTGTTTTATAAATCCTTTGAGGCTTTGATGTAATTTTTAAATATATAAAATTAATTTTTAACTTTACACCAATGTTTAAATGAAATGAAAATATCGTCAGTGAAGCTTCGTCGACCGCAACTGGAATTTCCAAATGGGGCAAAGAGACTACTTTTTATGTCAATACTATAATGCTTTAGTAGGTATTTGTAACTTTTCACTTAAATAAATTGCTTCTAGAGATGGAAAAGGTTTGATGCCATATGGTGCCTGATAGAGTGCTACATATGCTTTTATTTTATGTTATTAATATTTATAGTAGAGCCCGTTTGAATAATTTGTTTATGAGGTCATATATTTTATTTTATATATGCTAAGTAGTAAATAATGTGTAAGTGGGCCTAAATTCTAAGAGTATTTGCTAAGTAATGTGGTAGTGAGCCTTAAGTCTAGGAATAGTTACTAGGTAATGTGGTAGTGGGGCTTAATTCTAGGGATTGGTTGTTAATTGGCTTCTAAAAATATTGGGGCTCATTATTTGTAAAATTTATCCAGAAAGTAATTCAATACGGAGTATTTATTATTGGAGATTCTCCTTGGCTTTATTATGTATATGGGTTTAAGATTCTTGCTCATATTCTAACAAAGATTTCCCTTCATCTTTATTATTTTATGAATTTAGATTCTGATTTCATAATTTGATAAAGACTACCCTTCACATGTTCTCTCTGCCACTCTTGGGTTCTATCAGTGCCATAAGCGCTTGATTCCTTCATACAAACCTACATGTTATATTAGATGCTCTCATGGGTGTTGTACAACACCCTAGATGCTACATCCATTGCATATGCATATGTAACTATACATGTATAGTATACTGCAGTTCTAACACCAGTAAAAAATAGGGAAACTTTTTCTATAAGCCTGTTGATCATGCACACACACATATACGCAGAAAATAATACCTGTTATCGTCAGTAACACCGTCTTTTCTCCAAATTCTCATTAAAGCTGCAAGTGATAGTGCACACTTCAGAGCCTCTACCTAATGACGAAAAAGGAAGCGAAGGTCAAGCCACGAATATGTATCAAAACACATAACCTTCCACTAGTCCATCATCAGAGTTCCCAATTCCATCTATGTTGCACGGATTCTTCAAACAAGTGCCACTTCAAATCCACAAAATGTCCCAGTTTGGGTACTTGGAGACGTCCAGACACCCGAAATCTATGTGAAATTTAGAAAAGTGGGTGTTTCCCCATTCCGGACCCTGTCCTCGTACAACTTAGAATTCCATAATCCACAGTGGATTTTTATATATTTTTTTTAAAAAAGCTAGCAAATATTAGAGAAGGTCTTTATTATTCACTAACCAAAAAATTTGCAGTCGTAACACTGTACTCGTACTTTCCAGCTCTCTTTGACCAAACAATGAGTATTCCTTGTGAACTTGTAAGCACAGTCAATGCAAGTGTCACCATTGACCTAAATTCAACAAAAATGGAGACGAAATGTGTATAGTGTCAAATGGTTTAAGAATGTAATGCTATGAAAAAGAATCCAAGGATTAGTTCCTACTTGCGCTTCCACTTAGATCGGTCACCTGAGCTAGCCCCCACTGTGGCCACAGTATTAAGAGAACCTGCATCATCCAAACTCAACACTAACAATGACCAAATAAATCAACCAGAGAAAAAAGAATTCCCCACCCACCCAAAGGTGCTGCCATGACATCCAACTATTAATGAAAACATGCACCCAACCTGGAACAGCTTTCATGTGTGAGCTCTCAATATCATCAACAGATGCCTCAGTTTTGTCCTAAAAGAGTTGTGGGCAGGAAGGGGACAAATCAATTCTAGTAGTTTAGCATTTTTGCTTTACAATCCTTACGAATTGTATGAGTAATCAACTCATCGAGAAGAAATGCAGAAATGGAAGAAATTATTCACGAAAAATGTAAACCAAAGAGAATCTCAGCTGCAAAAGAAGGGTATGAATATGCTGGAAATACTTGAAATGAGTCGAGGACTAAGGAGGAAAAGAAATTAAAAACCTGATCTTTAATTCTTCGGTACTCCATTGAAAAATGACAGTAGAAATCTTCGAATTTCTCACTACTTTCACCCACAAATCACGAGCATGGGACCCAAAAACAATACATGTAAATGAACACCTAGGAAGCAATGTTTCGCCACTTGGTGCCCCTTGGAGCACCCGATTCGTAGCAGCGCCGGCGAGGGGGCGGCTGTGATCCGCGGACAGTTGGGAGCAGATGGCAGGAACAAATAAGGGCGGTTCTCGGTAGCGGGAAAGAAACCCTGGATCCCCAGTTCCAAGCTCACTTCTGCAGAAGTTATTTTGAATGTTATCCCCTTTTTTTTCTTTTTTCATTTTTAAACTCCTAATTATACATTCATTTGTTTGTAAACATTGTGATGGTATGTTTGGGGTTTTAATTTGGATTTCAAATCTAGGTTAGATCCAAATTACATATTTAGACTCCCGTACATTGGATTCAAATTATGAAAGTAAAATTGAAGATAACAATTCTACTTTTACTGTTTGATAATACAAAAATATATAGATTTGAAATTGGTAGTGCCAAAAATGAAAATGAAATTAGACAATTCAATTTCATCCAAATCAATTCTATTCTATTTCTACTCTCAAATCAATTCCAATTTCGTATATCAAGTGTGCCCTTGAAAAATTCAAAGAATTTGAATTTGAATAAAATTATTCTAATTGAAACCAAATTCACACATCATTTTTTGTCATTTATAAATTCAAGCCTAACTCTCTTTTATTTTACAACTTGTTGAAACACACTTTACAATACTATTGTACTTAAGTTATATTAAACTGCCGTGGAGATGAAGTGTCAGACCATCGTGCATATGAAAAGCTTTGTTGAATAACTCTAGGCGTAAAACAAGTCATGGCACAAGGTGCTAAGGAATCAAGAGCAAGACCAAAGAAGACTTAGGTTCTTAGTTGAGTTGGTCTATTGTGATCAAAACCGACATGGTCTTTGCGTCTTGGTTCTCATTAGTTAAAATCATGAAACCCATTTTCATGCATCACATAAATGATTTTCATAAACATTTTTAAGTTTCCAAAACCTCTGGTCTTTGCCCAAACCAAAACCAACGTTCGGCGTTTGGCGTTCGGCGTTTGGTTTTCAGCATTGGTTTTCGGCGTTGGTTTTCAGTGTTTGAATCAACCACTTGGTTTTAAACATTGTATGATTGGTTTTCACTTCTCGGCATATTTAAATGGTTTCACAATAAAAACATTTTAAAAACCACCTTTGGTTCTTGGTCGTTTCTCAAAAACTATGAAAACCATTTTCAACTTGGTCATCCGTGGTTTTCACCTAAACAACGTGGTGTTTAAGTTTTTATACTTGGTTTCTACATCAAATATATTAAATAAATGTTTCTAACACTTGGCTTTTAATTTGAGAAACTTTGATTATTTTTACCATGGTTTTCAACTTGATTTTCGCCGGCTGGGTTTTTGACAAAGCTGTTAGTCGATTATCATGCTTGATAATCGATTATCAAACAAGGAAGCTAATGAACTTTAAGTTGGAAGGTGCTTGATAGTCGATTATCAAGTATTGATAATCAATTATCAAAGTTTTCAGTGCCAAACCCAGGAAAATCAGACTATCTAAGTTACCGTTACATCCCCAAATGGCTAGATTCGCGTAATATAGCAGTTAAAGATTTATAATAATCAATTATCAAGTAGACATAATCAATTATCTTTAACTAATTACACTTGGATGAATTATTAACGGTAATCACTGATCTTAGCTTATAAAAAGACCCATAAACCTCTCATTTTACACTTAATTCTTCACTCCATTAATACTCCTTCATTACATTAATCATATTCATTTTTCATGGCTCTCATTTGTGAAAATATTATCGTGTTCTTGAGCGTTCTATAACTTATCTCTTTAAATACTCTTTATAGACAGTTCTTTGTAAAAAAGATAAGTTTCAGAATACCAATTCTTCTCATTGAGTGAAGGGCTTGCTAAGAACCCTTAATCTTAGTAGTTGAAGTCTTAGGCTAGGAGTCTGAACAGTTGAAGTCTTGGAGTATGGTATCTCCAAGCAAGGTTGTTGAGGCTTGTGTGACTCGAGTCCTCAAGCTATAGCGTTTTGTTAATCATCCGTAAGCTTAACGGAGTTAGTATAGCTCGAGAGAGTCTCTTGGGAGACTGGACGTAGCCACAAGTTTGTGGTGAACCAGTGTACATCGGTGCGGTGTGTTTTTTCCTTACGCTCTTTACTTTCCGCTTACTCCGTTTTAATTCGTTGTAATTTTTGTTTAAACACTATTCACCCCCCCCCCCTCTAGCGTTGGGCATAAATTCTAACACAATTTAAGCAAATTCTATGATCAACCTAAGGTCCATCATGTACCTATATATGAGAAAAATAAGAAAATATTTGCTACCTTAATAAGCATTATTTTTAGTAAAACAAATAAAAAAATAGATTTTTTTGTGTGAGATGCACTTTATACCGATTATTTTACTCTTGAACTTCAAATATGGGATGCACTTTAACAGTATGCACTTTTTAAATTTTAATTTTAGTTTTGAGTATAAATTGTGAGTGTCAATGATTAAAATTTGTAAATAATGAGACGTTCAACATGTAACTTGATTAATGGGAGAGTAAGAGGTAACCCTACCATGCCCCCATGAGTCCCCATGACCTATAGCAACTATAAAGGACATAAGAATTTCCTAATAAGAACACAAGATCTTAAGAGTTTAGTCTTAATCTTGGAAATTATGTAATTCTAATGTATACAAAAAAAAGTACAAAGTGTGATAACACTATTAGAGCGCTCAAAGGATATAAATACCTAATTCCAAAAAGGTTTCGAAGATCCTTGGATGGATGCACTTTGTTAGGAACAATCTCAATCCCAAGAGTTCTCAAATGTTAGAGCTAATTTGAGTGTTAAGTGAGTTGTATGCGTTGGAACTTCTCTAATCTTGAGATATTGTTATTGGATGTATTTTGTATTTTTATATCAATAAGGATGGTACGAACTAAGACAGACGTCGATAGAAAGTTTTTTTTGAATCATTTGATTGCTTGGTATTTGGTAATCCACTCTTATCATCGCGATAAGCATCATTAAATTTCTCTAGGGGGAATCAAAGATAGTCTGAGTGCTATTCTGATTGACTGTCATCTTTGCTAATCTGTGAGCAACATTATTTAGTCTCTCGTGACATGAATAATTTGATCATTCAGTTCATGCAAACCAGCCACTTGCATTTCATAATTATATATCGCATTGATACTCTAGTATCATTATTGGTATTTTCGTGAACCTAATTCACCACCTTCTTTGTATTAGTCGATTTATTCATTGTGCCCACGCCTTAGAGGGGGTGAATAAGGCGTTTAAAAACTTTTTAGAGTTTAATAAAAACGGTGTTAACAAATGCGGAAGCAATATATAAAACGCAAAAGTAAAAGCGTAAAGTAAATGCACAGCGATTTTATACTGGTTCGGGAACTCCCTACTCCAGTACCTTAAGGCTCCTCCTTAAGGATTTTCAATCCACTAGAACGCCTTGACCGTCTCAATACGATTGTCACGAGGGAACCAATCTTGGCAAACAAACCTTGGCCAATAGGTTTACACTAGATCGATAATACTTCACGCCTTGAAGTATCCAACTAGCTTGAGGATTTTCCAACGGCTATCCCCAACCGTGCACCGAAGATTTGCAGGATGTCTTCAACCTAGATATTTGCAACGGCTATCTCCAACCGTCTCAACAAGGATTTCACGGATGTCCTTGACCGCTTCCGGAGATTACACCACGGCTATCTCCAACCGTCTCAATGCAGATTTTACAACGGATATCTTCAACGTATTACAAGGATATGATAATTTGAATAAATCAACACCACCTCAAGAATATGAAATACAAGATTGGGTTGGTGTGATGATTTCTATACACTCTAATAATTACAACTCTCTTATAGATAATATGAGTGTATATCTCTTTTGAATCAAGCTCAATGTGTGTTCAAGAAAATATATTGAAGAAATGGTTCTTTAATAGCCTAATAAAAATCAGAGATTTTTATAAACACAAGAAGAAAGAATTAAGAGATTTTAGCAAGGCTTGACTGATTAAAAACATTGAAATGGTTTGGGTATTTATAGAAATGGATTAAGAGTTGTTTGAAATTGAAAAATAGCTGTTACAGAAGAATAATTAACTCCTAATACCATAATTAAAATAATCCAACCGTTGGGTGTGAAAAAGACAAGAATTAAAGAATTTGGTCTCCGAACGGTCCATTACATCGACCGTTTCAGTCCAAACGGTCGACCGTTCGGGGTTACATTCAGATTCCTCCAACGGTCAGTAGTGTTAGACGCCTTTCACACCTCTAGAGGGGGGTGAATAGAGGTGTTCACGAAAATAATAAAAATTTTCGTTTAAAGAAGAAAAAGCGCAGAAAAAAAAATAAAAGATTAACGGAAACACTGAAAGCGAGGAGACAACGATATATCCTGGTTCGGCCTAATGCCTACGTCCAGTCCCCAAGGCAAACGTGCCCGAGATTCCACTAATCCTTGTTAAACTTAACGGAGTTTAACAATCTGAATACAACTCGAGAACTTGATTTCACAAGCCTCTAACCTTTCCACCGAAGTCTTGATTTCACAAGACTTTGGATTTCAATCCAAAACTTGAATTATTTTAAATTCAAGTTTTTTTTTTACAATTTAAAAACTTACAAACCAAAGTGCACAGCGGAATTGACTCTTCGAACAAGAACGGATATGCTGTAGATTACAACAAAACTATAGTGTATGGCACAAATGACTCTCCAAACTTCAATATGAAGGATTGCTCAAGAAAATGCTTGAATTAATTGAGTAAGAGGATTTGATTCAATAAAACTCTTTGAAATTCTCAAAGGATAGCAATTGTCAATGTTCTTGGATGTTCTTGTATTTTGAAAAATGAAACTAGATTGAGTATATATGGATAGGGCCGAAGAAACCTCCACGGGAATTTAAAAACTGACCGTNCTTATTCGAATAAATCTAAGATTTATTCGAATAAACCAGGGTGAACTGAAATTCTGGGAAGCTACTTATTCGAATAAATAACCATTTATTCGAATAGTTTTCAAAAGTCTGGAAAAAATGGAATCAACACTTATTCGAATAAAATAAGCATTTGTTCGATTAAAACAGACCGAGCTGCAATCTGCAGAGGTCCCTCTTATTCGAATAAATCATCATTTATTCGAACAAAAACCTAGGAAAACATAGTTTTGAAAAAAAAACATTTTAAATAACAATAAAGAAGGAATTCTTTTAAGAGAAATAGAGAATTTTGAAGAATAAACATGTGCCACACACTTTAACAAGAACTAAGACTTAAAAACATGTAAAAGATCTAAAAACCTTTTTTTTAACGCCAATTCTAGTCTTGGAGCTCGTAAGCCAATTCTTGTCTTGGAGCTCGTAAGCCGACTTGCAAGATAATCCCTACGAAATGATCCAGGTGACTTGATTCAAAGATCCAAAGCTTATCCCACATATAAGGTTGTCATTATCAAAACACAAGGGTCAACAAATTCTCCCTTTTTGATAATGACAAACCCAACCAAAGAATTGCTTGAGCTTGTGTTTGTCAAAAATGCAAAGTCCTGTCTCATAGGCAATAACCAAAACAATAGCAAGCCAAAACAATAACAAAACCAAAAAACAAGTCATACAACTACTTCCCCTTGTTTGTGTGCCATCTATCAAGCACAAGCAAATAGCAACACATTCACATTCCCCCCTTTTGTCATAAGCAAAAAGGAAAGAGAAACACATAGGATTGCACAGTCAAAAACACAAACACAAGGGTTAAGCTAAGGGTAAGTGCAATAAGAGATAAGAGAAAGCATAAAGGAATGAAAGAGTCAATAATAACAAAAACGGAGTCCCAACCACTCATTCCTCATCCATGGTCGCTTCTTCTTGTGCAATATCATCCTCCTCTTCATCATCCTCATCGTCTTCATCATTATCAGCATCAGAAGGAGCGGTATGAGAAGAAGAACCCTGAGACATGTAAGGTGCGAGCGCTTCCAAGGATGGTGTTTCCCATTGCTCTCCACTCTTGACCAACATCTTATTCAAGTTATAACCGTAAGTGGCCTGTTGGAGCTGGATGTTGTTGAAGGAGGATTAGAGGCTTTGCAGGGACTCAAAAAGCATAGGCAATGTGACCTTGTGACCCCGGGAAGCCACACGTGACTGAGAAGTTCCGGTTTCTGCACGTGCTTCATCTTCACCATCAAGCTTGGTTCTCATTACTGTTGACCTCTTGATCCTCCAAAAAGGAGGTTCACTATCCATCTCGGCATTCACAAATTCAAATCCCTTCCTTTTCAAAAGATAGGTGAGAAGCATGGGGTACGGTAGAGATTTTTTCTTTGCCCGGCACAAGTTCATGTATGTCAAGATGTACTTCCCCCAATTGATAGACACCGGCTTCAAGATTGCATAGATAAGCATGGCATCGTCTTTGCTCATTTGAGGGTGATTGCTCGAGCGCCCACGCAGGATATAGGAGGAAATATATTGAATGAGGCGTTGAGGAGGTTGCATTCCATTCACCTTGGGCCGTCCAGATTCATTGAATTTGGGTCGAAAATTCATCACTTCCCAACACTTTTGTTCATCAAAATTATACCACGGGTTTTGATCATTATTTTGGGTAGTGAGCTCCTTGTTACTATTCTCCATGCCAAACATCTCATTCAATTCACCACTAGAAATAGTAACCTCTTTACCACAAAACTTAGAAATAATCACATATTGATGATTTCTACGCTTGAAAGTCATATCGGAGTAGAAA